ATCTGCCTCCTTTATAGCTGCTTAAAAAGTGACATTGTACTCTAATATCCACCCAACGTTAACAGCGGACGTTAAACATGTGGGCCGAGAGCCGCAGAAGTATTAAATATTATCGCACACAGCCTAATATTTCACTAACCCTCAGCGTTTCATTCAGAGATGTACTCGAGATAAAAAGCAATAATCTGAGCCTGATGGATGGCCCAGGCAGAGCCGCGGGCCAGCGCTGTGTGCACAAACTGCAGCGGAACGATAAAACCAACATGGAGCAGGTGTGTTTGGTTAAGATGCACTTGTCAAGTGGGGTGACGAGCATGTCTGTGTTCATTCAGCCGAACCCTCTTATCTGCACCTCCATGTCCCACTCAAGAGACAAAAGGCACTTGGCCATGTTTGTATGATTTACCTCTCCTCATGTAGCTGCGCCCGCACACACATGAAGCCGTTCCTCACAGGCTGGGCTTATTTATACTCTTTTATTACTGTCTGTCTGAGAAACATACAAGAGCATCTCAATAAATTAGAATATCGCTGAAAAGTTGATTTATTTCAGTAATCCGGTTTGGAAAGTGAACATCATATATTCTATGGGTTCATTACACACAGAGTGATACATCTGAGATGAAGATTAACTAGTTACATTTACTCAGTTACATTTACCGGAGTAACTTTTTTGCAAATGTACTTTTACTTGAGTAAGTTTATAATGAAATATAGCTACTGAAGTGAGATTTATGGACAGTCTTTAGAAATATTTTTCCCCCTGATTTTATTGTTTACATGAATTATTTTCAAGATTTCCACATATCTTTGTATTTTGGTCCATCTGTTGATGTAACTTTTGAATATTAGCATTTTTAATGATCAGCCTCTGTGTGCTTGAGTCACCATTTTACTAAATACTTTTTTACTCTTGAGTAATTCCTTGGACAGCTACTTTTTACTTTTGCTTGAGTAATTTTATTATGAAGTATCTCTACTCTTACTTGAATAAAATTTCTGGATTTTCTACTGACCAAATGAAAAACAAACATGTTTTAACCAGACTTTCACCAGACTCACGCCTGCATTTTTGTTAAAGTTTCAGAAGTTTTATATTGAAAAAACTTGATTTCATAAAATCTTTTGCCTGATTTTGTGTTTTGTTACTTATATGAAGCCTATATAATACCCCATCTTCCTGGCAAAATGAATTTTGAGGTTTTATTAGCTGTAAAGAATATTTAAAAAAATGCTAATAAATACTCATGATGTCTTATTAGGGCCATGTAGACAGCAAAAAAAAAAAAAAAAAAAAAAAAA